AATTTGGGCTTTATGGACTGAAGTGATTTTAGCAGCAAAACCATAATGCTCTTGCCAAGAGCATGGCTGAGGTTTAGAGAAGGGAGAGATCATTCTATAAGTGATGTTATGAACCTCAGGAATCCTACGTGCTCTTTCACCTGTCATGTTGCTTCCCGTTTGCCCGATCAGGAATCTCAGGTATATGTCTGTCCCTGAATATTTTGATTCTACCTCTCTCACCAGCACCTGAGAAGGGAGACCTCTGTTAAGAAGCCCACCTGGGTGCTGACATTAGTTTTCTTCCATTATCAGCTATTAAAGGTAAAGCATATTATTTGCATGGGGTGAGTTGTTCTATGGTTTGTCAGTTCTTTCTGAGGTGATCAGAAAGAAGGTGGTGTTGTGAGGACAGAAAGAAAACTTGAACCAACTACAAAGTTTTAATTAAGAAAAGAAAAAAATACAGAAAAGAAAAGAAAAAAAAAAGAAAGGAAAGAAAAGAAGAGAAAAGAGCCTGGCCGGCGTTGCTCAGTTGTTTAGCTTAAACCTAGGAACCAGGAGATGACCATTAGATTCCCTGTCAGGGCACATGCCTAGGGACTGGGTTACAGTCTTGATCCCCAGTAGGGGGCATGCAGGAGGCAACCAATCCGTGATTCTCTGTCATCATTGATCTTTCTCTTTCTCTCCCTCTCCCTTCCTTCCTGAAATCAGTAAAACCATATTAAAAAAAATGAAAGAATAGTCATGGCACAGTAAAGTAAAGGATTGAGTCAATGCAATCCTATATAATAAAAGGCAAATAAGCAAATCGACCAAATGGCAGAACAACTGGTCACTATGACACACATTGACCACCAGGGGCAGATGCTCATGGCAGGAGCTGTCCACCGGTGGTGATGCGCTCCCAAAGCACTCCCACAGGGGGAGCGCCGCTCAGCCAAAGGCCATGCTCAGAGCTGCGGACCACAGGGAGGTGGTGGGAGCCTCCACAGCAGCACTAAAGCGGTTTTAAACCATCAGTTGGAGATCCCTCAAGGAGTCCTGGACTGGGAGAGGCTGCAGGATTGGCTGAGGGACCGCCCTGAGTGCATAAATTTTGTGCACTGAGCCTCTAGTAATATTATAACTGTTATGGTGTCAAATGGGTATGAGATTAATTGCATGATTTCTTAGTCCACTATATAATGTGTAATCATTGGGGTGCACCCCTGAAATGAACCTAATGTTCTATGTCAACTGTCATGTAAAAAATGTTTTTAAAATTACATAGGACCATGTTACCTTCATAGAGTCATACATTAAGTCGGTTTTATACAGTTTGTTCGAGAAGAGAGATCTAAAGCTAAAAAGAAAGAAAAGTTGAGATTTATAAATTTGCAAAATCAACCAAAGGCAACCACAAACACAACCGTAAAAACCATAAATAAAAAAGCCAAGGTAAAATACATATTTATACCCCATCCCCTGTTTTTTGATACCAGGACCGAAGTAACAAGAGTCTCTGAGAAGCTGTGGCTTTTGCACCTTGGAACACGGAGGGGTCATGGCCGAGCTCCCTTCGAAGGTGCACCTCACCTCGCACCCCGTCTACCTGAGGCGTTGGCCCTGGGTGTATGAGGACGAGAATGATCGCACATGGTTGCCCCTCGTCATGGAGATAGAAGGTGTCCTGCAAGTACGGTTGCGCCAGGAAGACACCCCCAGTGGGCATATCGCACTCACCACCAGCCCGCTGACCTTGTGCGCCATGCCTTCGATGTGGACGCTCCATCTTGGCAGCAAGTACCAGGACTGCAGGTGCCGGTTCTGGCGCATCGTGCACCACATCAAGGAGAATGGCGTGGAGGAAATGGTCCTTCAGTTGATGGAAGACTTGTAGGACACGTGATGGGGTCCCTGGCTCTTGTCAATCTGAGCCCGAGTCCTGCTGGCCCGCCGGTGGGACTTGTATAGTTCTGTTCATCTTTTTACTAAGCTCTGTTGTTCTATCTGCCACCCCCTGGGTGGGAGGGCACATTGATCTCTCTCTCTCTCTCTCTCTCTCTCTCTGTTCTTCTTCTTCTTCTTCTTCTTCTTCTTCTTCTTCTTCTTGGTGTTGTTGTTGTTGTTGTTGTTGTTGTTCTTCTTCTTCTTCTTCTTCTTCTTCTTCTTCTTCTTC